TAGTGTGTGTGCGCGTGTGTGTGTGTGTGTGTGTGCGCGTGTGTGCGTGTGAGTGCGTGTGTGTGTGCGAGTGCGTGTGCGAGTGTGTGTTTTAAAGAAGTCGTTTATATTCACCAAATATTATATATTTTAACATATTATTATTACAATGTAAATGTAATTTTTATATAAATTTTACACAGTGTCCGGAGATACAGGGTATTATGTCTCCACCATTATTTATTTCACTGTTAATATTACAGAGCCTTTGTTTTTGACTCAGAACTCCAGGTATGTAAAGCTTGTCACATTGTAATTTCAAACATCCAGAAATTAAAAATTACATATTATTAATTTTTATATTTGATTTTATAATTTTACAATTATTCAATTGAAAATAATTAGCATAAGATAACAAATAAGAGAGACATATGTAAGAGAGCATCATTCAAAAGTAACATACGTTACTGTAAACTTTCTTTGGATAAGGCACAGAATTCTGTCATCTGTTCTAAATTAAATGGTAAGGAAAAGAGAAAACAATACAAATCAAAATGTTTAACTTTCAAAACTTTCTGCCCCTTACTGAAGACATGCAAAAATGACTTCAAAAAGGGCTGTGAAACAATGCTACATAGAAGAAGAAAAAAGAGAGAGAGAAAAGTATTCAAATATCAGTCGTGTAGTATCCCTCATCAGTCGTAGCTGGGAAATCACCAGTCTGGAGCAATGTAGTAAAAGCGCCATAAATTCAAAGAACTTGTGTGAGGGCCAGACTGTATTTGTTAGTTAATATTAATAATAATAATAATAATAATAATAATAATAATAATAGTGAAATAAAGAGTCTGAATACTTACATTAATGTAATGTTTCAGTTTTTCCTTTTTAATAAATTTGCTTATCATACAGTTTACATAGAGATGCAAGTTTTAAAGGTGACCAGTTAAATAACATTTAAAAATCAATTATTTTATATACAGTATGATACAAGGATTGTGATTTGTACATATAGTAATTGGTCTAGAATTACTATTATTATTATTATTATTAACAAAATTCTAAAGATATGGTTTTAATATAAAACCAATAATTTTTCAAACATACAGAAATTAAATCATTATTAATTT